GGTCGGTGTACTTTCACTTGTCCATAAACCTAGGCTTTACTGCACTGTCAGTTTCTGAGTTAGCATCTCGACCAGCTTGGCCTGGGACGCTTCAAACTGCGGCTGTTGTTGCTGCAAAAGCATCTGCAATTGTTCAAAGCTGATTGCCATTTCTGCCTTCGGTTGTACTCACGTCTCCTACCCGATGCATGGCAACGCACGTGATGTCTGACGCGCGATTTCATCAGCTTCCGATCAGACCTTGTCAACAAATATGCTGTCTGATGCGCGATTTCCTCAGCTTTCGGCTGGGCCCTGGCAACGCGCTCGCAGGGCCTGTCCCAAGCACGATTTGTGGCGTACACTCGCGCGTTGTCCTTCAGCTTTCTTGCTTAGCTGTCAATTCCAAGGTCGCACTCTTGTGAGGCGTTGTTCCACTTATACGGTCAGCGTGCCTACCTACCTTATGAAAGGCAGTGCTGATCCCTCGCTTCCATATTGGTGGACGTTGATTCTGCTCTGGGCAGCGCTGATAGAAATTGTCCAGTGTCTCTGCTAGATTGCTGGCTACTATACTGCAAAGCCTTCGGTTGTATGTTATCGACGCCAGGAGAACTGTGAGTACTCAGGGCTAACAGCATCTTCAACACAGCTTCTGCAGGGAACGTGATATTGGGTAAACCGGACGGTGAACTAATGGAAACGAGGAGTGTATTTGAGCGTGTTACTCTCTGGAATGTATGGGAACAATTAAACCGTAAGATATCAGCTACTTCCATAGCTAATCGCGTGTACTCGGAAGCCGTAATTAGTGCTGGGATTCTGCGCTTTACCTTACGAAGTCCATTAACCTACATGTATAACAGTTTGCGGTTCGTGCAGTGTGTACTTATTGATGTGAGGCGGTTGTCAACTATATTTGGCGCCACCGAATTGGAAATGAATGAAGCATCTCATTAGCAGTCGCATCAGGTATTTCTATTACCGACTTACGTTATACAGTGAACTCACAACCAAGTAAGTAACACTGCTGAGTTGTGGAAGGGGCTACTGTTCGTTTTTACATCTGGTATAACTATAGATCGCTGCCTGCATGTCAAAATGACATGCGATTGATGACGGCAGAATTACGCTTGGAAAGAGAACTTATTAGTACTTTTCTTCCCTTATTCACCCCATTGATGTGCGCAAAATCACCGCTTTTTCGACTAGTAACTCTTACCTCCTGGGTTAGATCGACTACCTAAACGCCGTCATTTAGGAGTCAACCCATTGGTTGCCACCAAGATCAGACGAAATTGTCGTACTTGAGAGTTATCAGTCAGTTTGAAATTTGTTCAGCTAATCACAAACCTGCTTTATAAAGCGAAGGCGCGGGTTCGAAGCTGTTTAAAGAATCCGGCGATCCTTCCAGTATCCGTAGCCCACGCGCGACTATTGGTCGTTCCGCCGCAGCGAAGTATCGGCAGTGCGTACCGGAGTACTACTGATATCTTACTGTCTTGAATGTCGGGATACTTTTAAGTTACATCCTTCTAAGACTGTCCGATGGCTTACGGCAACGCAGCGGAAAAAAAGAAGGATACCTGCGAGCCAGAACAAGTCTGCTGCTGGGCTGTGGCGTAACTGGCACATAAGCAATGATTTCTAAATTTCGGATGGGATTCATAGCGCCAAAGGTCTAACCAGTCCCAGTGAGCTCCACACTTCAACTGAGCTGCGCTTTGCACACCGAAACTTGGGACTTTTGTAATAACAACACGCCCAATTCACTGACCATACAACAACATTTATTTCATGCGTCATCCTTTAGTTGGGCTGGATGACATTTCCGCTGAATAAACTTACACTGGACACCATGAAGAGCAATAATTCAACTCTAAAATAGTCATGTTAACTTTCTGACCTCTTTGGTTAATATGCATTATTCCCTGTTAAATTACGTTTCTAACCTTCTGGGTACTTAGGGCCATAACCGTTCAAAGTTATCTTTTGATACTTCATGTAATTCTGTCAACCCGGACTACGTTTCTAGTATCCATCGCTGTCACAACTCTTTAGTCTCTAATTACTTATGTCATTCTTTGTGCGATAGTTGTGTTCACACTGCCAATCACCCTGATACTATTTCCAACTAAATCTGTTCCGTCCGAATAGCCATCCATGGTTAGGAGAAGGGTTCACTTGTCGTATTAAACTCCACGTATGGCACTCGTTGTTCTGAACGCGCACACTGATTGCGAAATGCCCAATTCCTACCTTATGGCGTCGTCAGATTAGGAATTGTTGGCCCATTGTTGAAGTTTTGTCAACTGCCGTGCATAAGTAGCCGTGGGAATGTGACAGATGCATCGAAAGTTTTCATGACAGTTCACTAGTTGATTGGAGGGTCATTTTTAAGCTCTCGTTATGTGACTTGATTGCGACACGCAATTTCAATGTGCACCGTGACCCCCCCTTCGTCAAATCGATCACTGGGACTGTAATTGTTGAAGCAGATGGAAATTGGGTGCTGCTCGTCCGAAAACACTGCACTCCATGATTAGTTTCGACCTTATTTGGTTTCATCAGGTAGATGTAGCAATCCATTCACACAACTAGTGCTTCCGAACGACCCTCTAATCGGTTATTAACCGTTGTGTCAAGCGTTGCCTATCGTGACTCTGTGGTTAAATGTGTATGCGATTCCGCTAACATCTCGATGGTTCCATGTTCGATGCTGCCTGCTATTTCTACCTGATGAGATTAAACAAGATCGATACTAGTCGTAGAGTGCAGTGTTTTCGGGCGGGAAACACCCAGTATTCCTCAGTTTCATTCCATTAGCTCATTCGAAAAATTCGTGAAACGCAAATGACCCAATAGATAGATCATGTATTACTTGGATAAATTATGGTGAAATAATCCTGGGGTTTCCTGCATCGCTAGCGCCGGATCACCTGACAGAATTCTAGAATTCATTTACTGCCCTCGGTTACCTAAAGTGCATGGAATTATTCATGTAACTCAAATCGAACTATGTCCATACCGGACTGAAACAACTATGGTATGGAGAATTTCACCCCTACTTCTCACACTGATGTCAACCGTTTGCTCTATCAGTTAGTGCACATCCCTCAATGAAGTTCACTACTGCAATGGAAAATGAAGGTAAGCTGGCGTTTCTGGACGTTTTGCTGAGGAGGCACGAGGACGGCTCACTTGAGCGGAGTGTCTTCCATAAAGCTTACATGGGTTGGTCAGTACACACACTTTTCGAGCTTCGTCCCTCTGAAGTACAAACAGAACTTAGTGCGTTGTTTGTATTATCGGGCCACCGACATTTGTAGTCCGGAAACACTCGAGCGTGTGAAGATCAAATTCTGGAAACACTACTTTCGAATGGTTGCCCAGAACCGTTCATCAAAAAGCACACCAGGACCCGTGAGCACTTTAAACTCGTAGCAATGCTTTCGAAGAAGGATGTGTTTCTCTCTGTTCCTTTTAAAGAAGATATCGCCTTCGATCTCATGAACCTAAGACTTTCTAATGCCGTAGCATGGACCTACCCGGCCGCCTACCCGCACATTCTTGCGGAGACCGCACTCTTTATAGGTCAATGTCTGCCTGATGAGAATTATCGAAAAGAATATTCTTCGCGCATTTGCTTACTTCTGACTCAAATGGGGATTATTTATAAATCGTACATTGTTTACCAGTTTACTCGCACCTGTGATGCCAAGTGCCTCGGACCTACGACCAGGCGTCTGTCGGTACCGATAGCTGGTCACTGAAGAGAGGCACGCTCAGAAGTATCAACACTTCCATTTTTGAACATTTTCTTCAAAATGCGCATCCAAGTTTGGTCAAAGATGCCTTCAAGATCTACTATGCCGTACCGAGGCGATACTCGAAAGGGTCGAGGAAACGCCACTTGCCGACTGCTGAAGCAATCGCGATCAGGCTAACACTGCCAGAGCTATGCAAGCATATGGCGTTTGTGCAACCCTTGACTTTGTCATGACCCTGACGAGAAGTCGTTCCCCGGAGTATTACGCAAAACCGGGTTATTTATATTTTTTGTTTATTCATTTATTATTTGGTTATTTTTAACTTTTTTACACAAGTTGTTTAGCTGCGCACATCTGTTAGTCCTGTCACGACGTCATCTGATTAAATCGGTTTGAGCATCAAACGAACATTCTAAATCTGTTCAAATCGTCCCATCCGCCCTCATTTCTGCCTTCACCAGCCTATTGTTGCCGTTATCTGTCCGGTACCTGTATTTGCCTGATGTGAATTATCGAAATGATATTTATTTGCAACCCTGTGTTTTACTCTTCCATGGGTATTATTTACGAGCTGATCAATAATCATCTACTTTCAGCATTTCAATAGGTTTCAAATGCTGAACTAGCACACTTTTAACTAATGTGAAACTTTACTGCAATTTGGCTGCAATCACTTTTCTTGCTGAGAAGCCTTGGTTGCATTCACAACCGGAGTAGGCCGAATCCAACCGGTAATCTCCTCACTACTCCCTGTTCTCTCTCAGCAATCGTACTTGCTGGGACGTTGTGTGATTCTTTGTCCTCTCACTTTCGAATAGCCATATCCTAGTTCATTACGAGGTTGTCATTTACACCCATTTACTACGTCATTGGTTTTATCATTGGGTATTGCCACTCTTTTCTGTATTTTATTTTCACTTTGTAGGTGATGCATACACCCTTGTATCACCCGACCCGACCGGAGATGGGGCATACAGGAGCATGCGGGCCGCCTTGTTAGATGCAAAGATAAGCACGATAGATCAAGTAAGACAAATTTGGACAAAATACCTTCCCTCTTCCTGATTGTTGGTGTGAAAAACTATGTTGGTTCAATTGCTAAAGCGCTTATAAAATGAAGATGACACATTACAATAGTGCTGTCGTAACCAACTGCGCAATTACCATTTATGTAAGTGTCCCACTTGAAGCGATAGAATTGGTGAAAAACCAGTGAGGTAGGATTGTAAACCTGCTACACGCAATAACCCTATTAGCACATTTCTGGTACATTATGACAGTTTATAAGTAGCCAGCAGAATTGTCTTCGGCTTTCACTGTTTTACATAACGCATGTCACTTACGCCTTCCGACTGAACTCTCTTCTCACGTGCTTGTTCGCAGGCACTAGTACATATATTGAACGATGAAGGTGCGATCTCTGCATCCCCGTGTCTCCTACCATATTTTAGTCGTAGGCTATTGAGCCCAGCTTGACTGAGCAGAACGCATCTAGGCCTATATTGTACTGACTCGCAGTTTTGGCTTTACAAACCTGAAGTGTATGGTTGGCCATCATTTCGCTTCCTAAAACGAACTATGTCTGGCTGGTTGTCAATGCTCGGCCAAGAACACAGGGAACTCGTTATGTTCGGCGCTTGGGACTATCCCTTTCTTCCTGATGAGACCAAATAAGCTCGAATTGCGTCATGGAGTACAATGTTTTCAAGGGGCAATACCCCAATTCCCATTTGCTCCAGCTACGTTGCTAGTGATTAAATCGATCAACGTTCACTTCAATGGAAATCGCAGTTCAAGTCGCGATTGCGCGTCACAATCCGATCACATAATAAGTACTTTAAAATGACCGTCCATTCAATCATTAACTGTTGTGACAAGCGTTCCTCGTCGTGACAGGTTGGCCGAAGAGGTAGAGGTTTCGGTTAAGATTCCAATGGTCCTGAGTTCGACGCCTGCTATCTCCACTTGATGAGATCAAACATGGTCGAAACCGGTCCTGGTTGCGCAGTATTGCGAGCGCGTAACAACTAACAATCATCTGCTTCAATTACGGTCCTACTCATCGAATTGACCAAATGCACTCCTACCTGTGTCGTGGCCATATTTCAGATTGGGCGTCACAGTTCATTCGCACCGTATGCTTCAAAGATGCCCCATTTAACCTTTAGAGTACTTTATCCGATGTAAACCTTACATTCATCACCAACCGATTTGAATTGCCGGTTATCCGTCTTCATCAAGGCATCCAGCATGTTTATGAACCAACAACAGCAAGTGAACACATAAACTACAATTAGTCAAGGCATATTGGTTGATTTACATTTGAACTGCCTCCCTCTGCGACAGTGCATACCGCGCTGCGAGTGATGAATTTGTTAGCCAAGATGACCAGAGTAAGTCGCTCATTTTGTGACCATGCAGCAGCAGAACCGTACTCTCCAGCTACTGCGACACACTATTTGCCGGCTCATCCCGTTCCTTGGATCAGATGGAGCTGAGCGGGGCCATGCAAATAGGAGCAGGAATTTGCGCGATTGTGCAAGACAATAATTAAGCACACTAGTAACTATCCTAAAAATTGGATGTTGCTGCCCAAGTCTAGACAAAGCTCAATTTGCGTGTATATATATATATATATATATATATATATATATATATATATATATATATATATATATATATAATTTCTCTACTGTGCGAGAGTTTGTTCCAGCATAGGGACAGATCAAAAGGTACACAGCTGTGTTTCACAAAATGTCCTCCAATATAGGATAGGAAAGAATACACTCCAACATGTATGCAGGTTATATCTCTTTTAAGCTATATGGTAAGTTCATACCAATAGCACACACTCACCATGTTGACTGATGGGGGTAAGTGAGTGTGTTTGGGAGAAGTACAGTGGGAGTGGTTCCTCATGTTCATATAACGACATCTTCTTTAGGTCAGTTTGAGTCACTTGCCACTTTCGCTTTGGTGTCGTGCATCAGTATAAGTATATTCCAACGCGGGATTTTGTCACAACGTTGCGCAAGATAAAACTTGACGGTACAATTGTTCCATCTTGTTCAAATCAAAGTAACTCGCTTTCGCAAGCTATAACAAGTTGCCATAAACAGCCAATTCCTTAAAAGGTATTTCGGTCAATCGGAGCCAAAAATACCATCACCATTAAGAATCAATGGAACAATGGTTTATGACGGGTATAAAAGCAATGCTTGACAGGTCCCGTAGGATGATGAGAATTAACATCGTAAAATTAAAAAATCGTATCGATGAAAGTACGTGTGAAATGCATGACTCACCAGGGGATTGGAGATGCACATAAACAAGTAATCCAATAGGAATTTTAAGTGGATTCCGTCCACGTTCGTTGTTCACTAATACCATCATCCGATGGTCGCACGTTATATCACATAGTGCAATCGTGTCAGAGTTTCGTCAAGGCGTTTTTTGAAAAGGGATAGGGTGGGAGCGTTAATTACATGTTCTGGAAGGGCGTTCCAAGGTTGTGACACTCGGAGGGAGAAGAAATTGCGTCGACATTCCAGTCGACTGTACTGTGTGATCAACTTAAACTGATGACCTCTTAGGGATGCGTTTTGACTACGTTTCAAAAGGGAATGACACGTGTGGTTGGGGGTTCTCAGTATCCGGTACACCAATATGAGATCGCCTCTCAAACGACGGTAACGTCCACTGTATAAGTTAAGAGTTTTCAGCCTGAGTGGGTAGGGAAGGCTGGAAAGACCTTTGACGTATTTTGTCGCTCTGCGTTGTGCAGTATCGAGTGCAGTGAGGTGGCACTTCTGCCATGGTTGCCACGCTTGAATAGCGTATTCTGTGTGCGGTCTAACAAAAGCGCTAAGCATTTTCGGAAAGATTGAGGCGTCAAACTTCCCAAACGCTCTACGCAGAAGGCCAAAGTGTTGGTTTGCTCTCTTGGAGGCCTTTTCGGTCTGCATTAAGCACCCAAGATCTTCTTGTACAAGCACGCCAAGATCGCACTCATGAGAGGTCCGCTGTAGAATGTCAGGTCCTAAGCGGTAGTTATACGCACTCTGATGGCGTATGCTCAAGATTTTGCACTTTGTGGTGTTGAACTGTAGCATGTTCTCGTTTGACCACTTGTATGCTTTGTCCAAATCATCCTGCAAGGCTGTGTGATCCTCTCCTGAAGCTATGGCACGCCATATCTTTAGGTCATCTGCAAACAGCAGAAAGTTGGAAGATAGTGCAGCTGCAAGATCATTTATGAAAACAATGAACAAGCGAGGCCCGAGTACCGAACCCTGAGGTACGCCACACTGAACTTCGATTGGTTCCGACAGGGTATTTCGGACTCTCACATTCAGGTGACGTTGAACGAGAAATTCGCCTATGCATCCTAGAATAGGATTGCCGATACCACAATGCTGCAGCTTGTTCAGTAAAATCCGATGGTCCAGTCGGTCGAATGCCTTAGAGAAGTCCAAGTAGGCTACATCCACTCCGACTTCGGCGTCCACAGACTCTGTCCAGTTTGAACAAGCAATCAGCAAATTAGTTGTGCAGGACCTGCCTTGGCGAAATCCGTGCTGCTCCGGAACGAGGATGTTGTTTTTCTCCAGGTACTCCATGAGGGCCTCGGCTACAATGGACTCCATGATCTTGGAGATTACCGGAAGAAGGGTAATCGGACGATAATTAGTTGGATCTGCACGGCTACCATTTTTGTGGATTGGAGTGATGATCCCGTGCTTCCACATCGTTGGGACGTGCATCTCGTTAAGGCATCGCTGAAAGAGTGTCGCCAAAGGTTCAGCTAAGCTCGTGGCGGAAACTTTCAGCGCTTTCGGCCGAATGCCGTCCGCACCCGGGGAGCTAAATTCGCGCAACGACATCAACCGCTTCAATACAGCTGCAGTTGTGAAGGAAATGTGGATAAGGCCTGATGGCGGAATAAGTTGCCTAGATATGGTGCAGGATGTTTGCACACACTGGAAAGTGCGGCCGAAGTGTTGTCCTAGGACGTTCGCCGCATCCTGTGCCGTATGTGCTAATCCGAAAGCTGTGCGCAGAGCCGGAATTCCGCGCTTAACGCGGCGAAGCTTATTTATGTGTCTGTATAGTAGCTTTGGGTTAACGCAGAACTTTGACACAAGATCTTGTTGGCTCTTTACCTTATCCTCCCTGACGAGTGTGACACAGTGGTTTCTTTGTGTAATATAGGTGTTCCAAGTATCCTCGCTCGGAGAGGCTATATGGGCGCGCCATGCCAGATCCCTCAATCCCATGCATTTCCGGATCCTGCTTCTGAGAAACGACTTCGCCTTGTCGGGTCGGGGGATTTTGGTTTTAGATGCCAATGCTACGAGCGTGTTGAATTTGTTGACAAATTTCCCGCATGCCACTTCTGGGGACCACTCAGTTAAGAAGGACCAGCTCGTAGCACTAATGAGTTCTGCCAGGTTATCGTAGTTGGTTACGACGTAAGATTCCACGTTGCTTTCATTAGGATAATCTGCATAACACAAGTATTGGAACAATAGTGTCGCATGATCGCTGCGGCCCAAGGGAGTGGATGTGGTTACTACGTCAATCATCAGTTCCTCATTGGTGAAAACGAGGTCCAAGATGGCCGGTTTGTTTCCTGTCCTGAATCGCGTTGGGGATGTGACATGGTTGTACAGCGGTGATCCTGCAATTAGCTCTTGTAGATCGGCTTTGAATGGTTCACTCATGGTGGCTGGGGTTTCTAGGCCGTGCAGATTGAAGTCCCCTACCAGCAAAACATGACTGTATGACCGTCCCAGTAAATTCTTCAAAGCAGAAGACAGGGCCTTATCCATTTCTAAAGTGGACATTGGTGGACGATATACGATGGCCAATAAGCATTTATCGCCGTGCTTTAGGTGTAGGCAGCACCATAAGGAGTCTGCGGTTTGAATCCCAGGGTCGTTCATGAGCTCAATGAGAAGGTCTGAACGGTAGTAGAGAATTACACCGCCGCCCTTGGTGGGTCGATCGTTACGCAGTAGTGACAT